AGGAGAGAGTGAAATGGTCTGAAGTAAGGATGAAGCACTGAAAAGTGTCGATTCTGTCGGAGCTTAGACTGCTCGCCTCTGAAGGTATCGTGTTGTGGAGGTACCAAGGCGATCGGCTTACAGGGCAGTGGATCACGAAGGGAAGCAATGCTGCGATTTCATCACCGAACCCAAGTGTTCCCTGGGGCATAGGGTGTGAGGTCGGGGTGAACCGAAAAGCATGTATGCATTACTGTTTGTCGGTCAGGTGAGAGTACTTCTGTTCAGAGTATGAGGAGAGGTGGTTAGAATGTATGGACGAGATGGAGGAGGAGGAGGAGGAGGAAAGTGTTGCTCACGTGGTATATGATGACGTCAGCCCGCTCAGCCAATAGGAAATTGACCTTGAAAATGGGGAACGGGTGAGAACGTACGATGACTGTGGGCTTTCCTTGAGTCAGAAAATTTTGCCTAATAAGTGAAGGTGGTGTCGAACATCTTGCAGCCGTGTGACTTTTAGGGTACAGTGGCATTCCATTTCGGCAAAATACGTTTGGATTGAAATGGCTTTGATGGCGTGACTGATTCGAGGGAAGGCACAAATTTATGCATGTCTCAAGTGCTCACGGCCTCCACTTGGTCATGTAGCATTCTAAGTTGGGAGTCCACAGTTGATTTGCTCGACCACCGCATGGTTTAAACTCCCCACTTTCATTCCCCTTCAACTCCTTTTCACGAGCTCAGTTCTGGCAAGTCGTCTGTCGACTCAAAGCCATCAACAGGAAGGGGTGACTGCCCTAGACGTGCACGAGAAGACGAGACTGGCATAGCTGCATGCAGTGAAGTTGGTTGCGATAGGAACAAGTACTCTCCACTTATGTTTCCACAATGTGTTGTGCAGCAGTCGACTAGCCAACCATTGACATTACTCTGTACCTGCATTCATCCGCGTAGAAACTGCATGAAGAGCAGACTTCAATGAGGACTGTGAAACGTTACTGCTTAGGAGGAAAAGAGTTAACCGAGTGCTGCACAGAGTTGGTAAGCTCTGCACCTCGGTCCACTGAAAGTTCTGCGCTTACTCCCCAACAAACGCTGGCACCTAACAATTTCATGTAATGCCTCAAACTCCTCAATGCCTCTCCAAAATTCATGCTTTGCAAGGGGTGACATGGAGGCGCTGACGGGGGCAAAACCCGAAAAGTCAATAACTTGGCATGCGATGTGACTTGACATGAAGGGACAAGGTTAATCAAATTGGCCAATCGCGATGCGATAAGGTGGAATGTGACACAATCCGGCGCCGCTAACTCGCATCGTTCGTTCAGCTCATCATGTAGAGCAAATTCCTTAAATACTGTTTTTTAATTTTTCCCCTTTTGCTAAGCAATTCATTTGTTTGTTAATTAATTTGTCAGTCATCCGGTTAATAAGTAAATCATTGCAACTCCTCCAGTGGCCAAGTAGAACAGTTTGAATTTGATCATACGACATCGCACGGTTATGCTGAAGCCCATTTTCTTCATTCCTGCTTTAGATGGCGAATACAGGCAGAGAGCGATATATGAAAGGGGATATTTTGCGGATTCCGATGGAGGTGGGTGTGAAAATTTGCAAGTACCTCAATGCCACTGAGTTGATGAATTTGTACTCGGCGATTCCACAATGGAGGTGGATCCTTTACACTCCACCATTCGCCTATATTGTACGCGAGATGATGGAGGAGTGGAAGTGGATTGACAAACACATATGTTTGTTGCTTTTCAGCGGAGACGCCGAGATCACGCACACCAAAGCTGTTTTGGCGACAGCGTACCACAATCAGCAAGATGCCCTCCACCATCGCCTGGTGCACACAAAATTGCCTGAATATGCACAAAAACCTGTGCATTGTTTGTTCCTTACATCAAGATCTGACACAAGTAGGCTGGAAGACAATGTGAAAGAGTATCAGTGCGATTTACAAGTGTTGAAACACGAATCACCGACACGCATCTACTTCGATGTGACTAATGATGCGATTCACTTTTTCCGCAATTGGCAAAGGTCTTCACAAGCATCAGGTGGAAGTTGTCTGCAAAAGCTGACGCATGTGGCTGGATCGGGGAGGGAAGGAGAGGGAAGAAGGCTTTTGACAGACTACGATTGCGTCATCATAGATGCTGACTATGGCGATGACAATGGCATATACTCGGACATGGATGAACTACTGCTTAGCATGACCGCAAGCCAAACATTTGTCACAACTGGTTCGTTGCTCTACATCAAGGGCCTTGTGAGCAACCTCGATTGCATGAAGGAGATGCTTTGGAGCCTAGACGGGATGGAATCCTCGCCGCTACCTCAAGTGGCTGCCAATTGGCGAATTTGGTGCAACCAGTACCAAAACAATTTCGGCATTGATTTAGTGGAGATAGTGCGATGGACCTGCCTTGACATCATCGTGAGGAGGAGTGGGGAAACATTGCACAATTGAGTCCATTCATCCCAGTCACACATTCCGTCAGTGCGTTTTTATTTACTTTAGACAAAAAAGCAATACGAAAGCCTAATTTCCACTTTATGGCATGCTAAAGGAACAGAGGGTTAATTTGTCACCTCCTGTGGGCACTCGGGTTGAAAGGGACTTGGTAAAAAACCTGCGAGACCTGCTGGCATTTACGCCTTCGGTAATGCTGGCACGATGCCCTCAACGGGGCGTGGTCATGTTAACACTGTGGAAGGAAGGACGTCTTCTTCCAACTTCTTCAGGGTGCACAATTAAATGCTGAAAGCTGACACTACAGTCGCTCAGCTCCTAGTGTGTATTAGCTTTGTAAAGAATTGCTCCATCGTAGGTTGAATGTGAAGAACAATTTTGTTGGATTTTGGCATCAGAAAAGAGGCTTCACCGTCATCAACTTGATGTGTGTGCACTAGGGAGAAATATTTGCAAGTGTGAGAATCTACGTTAAAGGAAGTGAGAATGAAATGGAGACTGCGTCCCCAAATAGTTGGAGTTTCCAAACTCACGGTGTGTGATTAAGAGCACCAACGGCTCAGGAATGAGTCGCCTCTAAATTGACCGCTCCCTTGTCAATGCATTTAGTTGGCACCAAAGGGGAGGAAGGTCGAACGCTTCAAATGCCTCATTTTGAGGCATCATTGTAGTAATGCAAGATGCTTAAGTAGACAGGCTAACAGAGCCGCAAACGGTGTGGGCAGCTTCTATGAGGTGGTAGGTGGTCAAACTGCCTTAATTTTACATTCGTGAGACCAACCAGAGCTCCACGGGCGGAGAGGAGTGGGTGGGAATGATGCACAATGAGAGGCAATGAAACACCACCAAATGTGGCTTTAACCACCGATTAACATGAAAGGGTAACACTACCGGTATCCTGCTGAGGCCAAAGAGGGAGCTTAGCGATTGCATTGCTACAGCGGAGGTCAACAAGGCACTCCAGGACGTCTGTTTGGCATCTGCAATCACCATTCCAAATTGGGCACCATTCAACCCACGTCGATAATGGTGCAGTGCAAAGCTAATGCATCAAAATGGGACGCATGGCAACACTTGACACACGTCCACTTGTCATCCGCCTACTGATACGTGCAAGGAAGGCGAATATATTATAGTGTTGGTCCTATATTTGCCTTTTGCTTAATAACCTCAAATTTTACTCTGCCAGATGAAGTGTTCACAAGTCGCTCACTTTAGATCTTACTTCATAGCTAGCTCAGAATCGTAACAAAAATGGGCTAACTTAACTAATAAAATTTACAAGAGGCACGACCTTACATTAGATGCTTTTTGGTAGGCGTTGCTTGCTTGGAACCATCGTTTCCGATAAGTTTAGATCAGGGACTCACCGCGACTTGATTTTAGCAGGTATGTTACAAATACTGGGCTGTATGATGCTCATGTAAGTCACTAGAATTGGTTCTGGAAGTGCGAGATGACATGCTACATTTATGGGTTGCCGATTCTCACTTCATTTTTGATAGTCATTCGGATTTGCCCACTTTCCAAGCGATTTGGATCAATTTCTTGAGCTGATAGGTGGCGCAACACTGGATGTCAATCGTTGTCCCTAAAAATAGGCGTAAAAATGGGAAAAAGGTTTAAAGTCATTTAGGACCTCAATCACCAAGAGTTTAATGATCTGGATGTCCTTGTGAAAAATTTTAAAGGTAGTCTTGAACAAGTGTTGTGAAATGCACAGCATTAGGATTGGGCGATTACACTTTGAAGTACACCTCCTCTCTCGGTCAAAAATCTATTCCCGCCCATGCCGAAGATGTCCGACACGTGGAGACTATGGTGTAACAAGCGTTAAAATTATGCGATCTTGATGCATAAGGCGCTCGTCTCAGTGGCATTATCAGAAGAGCCCTATCATCAAGGAATGATTTTGAAGACATAAAGAACTCACGTAAGGCCAAAAATGTGCACTTTTAAGGATATTCTGCTGTAGTGTCCTGAGGCTTCCCATAGGGTGGAAGAAGGCATAAGTGAGTTTGAATATATGGGTTCCGAAGACGACAGAGCAATTGGGGCCTGAGACTGGCTCGAAGGCCAGCCCACGTGTTCAGTGGCCAGATAAATTCCAAAGCGATCGCCAAATGTCCAGTAGTCATATAAGCAAAGCATTACACATGCAAGGCGAAAAGACGGCATTGGCGTCGATGTGGGCGCACTGAAAGGTCCATAGAGCAGTTGTACTTATAATAATTTATTTATGCGACCACATGACGTTTGACGGGCACTATAGAATTTGTCTGGACCTGATACATGTGAGCTAGCCTTCGGGCCAAGCTCAGACCCCAATTACCCTGTCGTCTTCGGAACCCATATATTCAAACTCACTTATGACTTCTTCCACCCTATGGGAAGCCTCGGGACGCTACAGTACTTAAATCGAATAAGAAAGGCTAATCTTCTTTTCAAGCACTAGTTCCTAATACAAATGGCTGTCTCCGACATGCGAGGTACATTTTAAAGACTTACATGTATCGTAACGGGCGAGATAACTTGACCATAGTTTGCAAGATCGAAGCAAGGCACTGAGAAATTTTTCTAAAGATCCATAAATTGATGACATAACTGCTTATAATGGTGGGTGGTGTGGCTTGAATTTGGCATCTGTACTTAGAACTTACATTCTTTATTGTGAATGCCGAAAAAAGGATTCCAAAGGAGACTCAAAGTTCAGCTCTGAGGATTGTAGCAGCTCTTTCTCCACTGCTATGCTTTGATTTTACGAAAGAAATGCCATACAACTGTTCAGATCCCACGATTGACAAAATGATAGCTAACTCTTAAAAACCTGTTAAGATTCTACACTTTTAAGAAAAAACGGCTGCTAGAGTAGCCGAACTTACAATAAAAACAGCAACTTGAATGATGCCCAGAGGCAAACAAAGAGGTGATTTAGGAAAATAACTTTAATCAAATGAATACCTGCCACATAAATGCTTAAGCGATGCAAAATTGAACCAGATGGCTAGACTTTTAGAGCTTATGAGAATCTAACACTTGAAATAGGTAATGGTGTAGCTTAATGGCATTAAAGTGAATTAAAATAGCCCACACACGAAGGATACATTGCAGTTGGCTTTAAGATATCTGAATTAACCGCTAGACAAGATCGCGTTCATAATGCAAAAAATACTAGGAAGGAAGGCAAATATTCCAAATATTTAGGAGACTACTCAATTGTGAGCTTTTTGAGTTAGTCTAGAACTTTCTGTGTTTGGCTGCGCGCATGTATCGCGGTGAAAAATCTCACCAGTGATGGTAATGTCTGCATGGCTATGAAAAGGAGCAGCGTAAAATAGTGATACTACTCATAATTTAAATAGTAGTTAAATATATTTTTACATGTATTACAGGTAAATAGGAAAATATTTTAAAAACCTTTGTGTATACAACATATAATTATATAAAAACTTAAAAGTACATAATTTGTTTATTATATTTTATGAAGTTAGATTAAGTTTTATATAGTTAATTTTTTGGGCAAGTGTATTAGAATTTGGGGATTTTGGAAAATTACTCGCTCGGCACCGTTGATCGGTTCTTACCTTGCAAATTTGTATGGTGAGTATCGATAGAGCTCCGGCTTAAGCCACGAGCTTAAAGTATTTGGCTGGCCTTTCGGGGCCTAGAATCGTAATAAAACAGCGAGTTGTGAACTATTGTTGTTGGTGTCGAGTTAGTCTCCATTGTGTCATAATTCCAGGATGAGTGAACACCTGGTTTAATTAATAATAGTAGGCTTTTAGCGTAGAAACAAATTGGACAGTACTGTGAGTCAAAGATTGTATTGTTTTCTGTGTGAGGGTCTAGGAGAGGTAATATCAATCAGGTCTGCATACATATGATTTATCAGTTAGAAATATCCAGGTCGAGTGGTAGCGATTAGAGAAAGTAATACTTTCCTCGGTGGTATGGATGGCAGCGTAGCGTGTGGATTGTTACGCGGTGGTCTGGCTGATGGGTCTGGTCAGATTGTTACACAGACTCCCCATTTACAGCCAACAGCACAATTCGATTGCATTGCTTTTGATTTCGTAATAACCATGTCATTTGGACCATTTTCCGCTCTGTAGGTGTTATTGCTGCTGCTGTGTGGCCTACCGGCAATGCAAACCCAGGACCTTTTTATAGGACACAACTGCTCTATGGACTGTTAAAGTGCTTAATGCCTTTGAAACCAGATTTTATGAGGTGGGATCTAGGAAACTCATTAAAATTTGGAAATAGTTCCGCAGCTAAAACCATTTTTACCTGCAAAGACATCGGTTAAGATATAAAGAGCTACAATCCGTAGTCTGCCGCTGTGGCTTGGTAAATATCGGCTTAATGATTGAACCTAGTGGAGCTGTGGAGGTCAAATAGTGCAACTAGCACCTTTGAGACGCGTCAGACACCCCATTAAAGTTTCCATTCTGATGCAAATAATGGGATGGTTCACATCAACGCAGCTGCGCCCTCTTCAATTTACAACAAGCAGAATTCCATTTTAAAACGACCAATGCGTGCAAAGTGCTTTGTGTGCATACCGGGTCAGCAGATTAGTTAGCCTGCAAACCAATTGGTGAGGCGTGGCGACTGTGGGGTGATCCATGGCGATTTACCAGGTTTAGTAGCGTTGAAAAACACCACCCGAAATGCGCATATGAGTGCCAAGAGGCAGAGACAATAGCAAAAGCTGGGATCGAAGACGCTACTGCACGCTTGCAGAGGTCACAGCCATAATTTTGCGCTCTGTCAGGAAGTGAAGAATGCATAACCACCAGATCAGACACTTAGCAGTGTGCGCCTGATGACGACTTGGAATTCTCATTAACCAGCAGAGGTATGCTTATGCTCCCTCTTAGTATTTAGGTAGATGACGGGTGTAAAAATGGTGGTGTCAAGCGCTGGAACTGCTATTAGATTCGACCAGGTGAAGGACTGTTGTGGGTAAAGCGAAGAGCAAGGATGGTACACGTTCGGACCGATTCCGAGGTCCAATGTTTCTCTGGCGGCTGACTGTCAAGAGAGAGGGACTACCATGTCATGTTAGCGCCACCTTCTGCAAAATGTGAGGGTTGTGGCTTAAGTAGTCGATCGTTAAAGCTAAGTGAGGTGTCAAAAATAAAACAAGCCAGAAATAAGGTATTTATGTCCAGAACCACGCATTTGGCGGCTTCAAGACCATTCAAACACTTATATTCAGTTTGTACAGACAAGTGGTCCTATTGTGCTGGCATTTTCTGGCCAAAATTGTTTGACCGGTAAACAATCATGCGTGTAAAAGATACCTTCAACTTAGCTGCAATAGTTAAATGGTAGTAGCCAAAGACAACGGCTTTAAAGGAAGGTAGAGACTACTGGAATTTACCTGTATTGAGAAATGTTAGAGCAGGTCTGTTGACATAAAATGTTGCGCCTTCGAATGATTAAATAAGGGCACTTTTACAGTTCTGTAAGGTGTAAAACTGGCCATCTGTCTGCGTTACTGCAAAGACTGTCTACTTGATTTGGCAGCCGTCGTGGTATTGTGGTGTGTGAACGAAATTGGGAGACTTCTCTTGATGCTGGTGTTGGAGATTAGGTGGGAATGCAAAGAAAGCACTTAAATTGTAAAAAAATTAGCAATTTTGAAGTTTATGAAATTATGTGGGTGTTGAAGCCCCGCTTTCTACAGCTTTTCCGGTGGATAAAATATTTCCCCTTAACTACTTGCTGCTCTCCGCCACTCAATGTGCTTGTTGAAAGGAAAGGAAGTTCGAAAGGAAAGGAAGTCGAAAATAGTTTCGTGCCCTGTATCCCTAAACGTAAGGCAAAAGGATTGAAACAAGGAGGCGACATATTCTCTTCCCTCCCACTAGGATGGACTGAGAAGCCGCCATTGCTATTTTCTGTACAAGTTTTGAAGCTGTTGATGAGGAGACAGAGCAAGAACCCTCAACTTGTGGAGGGAGGGGAGTTTGACGATTTCCAAAGTTGTAGAGCAGAGCAGTGGCCCATGCCTACCTAGCGTAAGTGGCGTCAAAGAACAAGAAGGATGTTGAAGATTACGAGAGTCCAGCCATTGGAAATGCTCACTCGAGAGCACAATGTAGCTTGGAGGAAACAGTGGCTGTAAGGAGTCTGCCACCGAAACACATATCAGGTTGATATCGCTTCAAAATGAGGTCGATGATATTGTCGGAATGATCTCTTTGGATCATCCTACCTTAGCATACATAAGGGAGCAGCTAATTAGCAACTCACATCGGTGTGTGTCTCATTCACAACACAGCGACGACAATGTTTTTCTTCATGCACCCTCTAGCGACAGACACATGGATCCCAGTTACGTACATAAGAACAAGCCATCAATCAGAATTACGTCACAGAAACCATGTAAACTTTAGCACAACCAATGTGACTGCATGTAAGGGCCATGAAGTGGCCGTCGCCGTCCATGAACTTCATAGCATTACACTCGGGTGATGTCTACGTTTCATTCTGAGGTTTTTGATCCCTCTAGAACCCTGAACAACATCATGCCTTAATTTTTTTAACCTAGGAAGGGGGCATTTGGCGAATAGATTATTAATGTTATTCGTTAATTTTAGCTCTTTTGTTATAAGCTTCGCTGTAACCGTAAGCCTACGCACCTCCGCGCTGCCAAGGCGCCTGACAGCTGTGCGTTTTGCATACGTTTTGCTACTTGGAGGTCGCACTAGCCTCATGGTGGAGCCATTTTGTCGTCCACTAAAGTTAAAATGACCTAGCGGGGCAACTGATCGGTCCTTAGTTAACCTTTTTCTGTCCGCGCAATTCGGTGTTACCCAACAATCATTCTGATTACATTGGCATTATCGAGTGGCACGTGTCTTTAGGTGTAGAAGTTCTCCTTCCCTGAATGCTTGTCCCTAACTGAGTGCTTACCAATGGCTGAAAAGTCAACGAGAAACTGTTGGTAATTACAAATTGTGCGAACAATCTAACCTCCATCAAGCGAGGTGGTGTAAAAGAGACAACTGAAGTCAACAAGGCCACTGTATTTGCCTTGTTCTTGTGTCAATGCTCACTTCCTTCTTCCACTGGGACTGATTGATTCTCCTTAACTTATTGCCACTATTTTTGCGAAGGGAGTCTTGCAACGCCATGCACAGTGAAGGCAGATGCTGTCACAACAAAACACAGAGTGCCTATCTCTGCCAACGCCTAATCGCTTTTCATCTTAAAAAAAACAAAAGGAGCCAGTCTCGGAGCAGTGACTCCACCAAATTCATGATAGCACGATTTTGACAATACTTGCACAGAGTTCGCTTCACTTCCAAAGCATCTGATTACCCCATAAGTTCTTTGTGTAGATCATCACTAAGTCATGTAGAATGCTTTGAATGTGGTCCTGCTAATCATAATACCTAACATGACATGTCTGTCATCCGACAGGACATTACCACTAATAGTGAGTGATCTGTCACACGAGTTCTATTGCTGAGTGCTACTGAAAGTTGGGGAGTACTGAAGAAGACAGACAAGCGGCGTGATGAAGTGAGAAGGGGGACACAAGTTGAAGCCATAATCACCCGCTTTTGCCACTCTAGGACAGCCCACGGGGCTGCCATGGACAAAAGGGGGAGGAGAAAACAAAGGCTGATTCGAGTCTGCGTAAGAAACAACGTCCAAACTTTGCGTTTGTTAACCCCTGCAACAAATACAAACGCCATTTGTCGACGATGGAGCCAAGTCGAAGGTGCAGTCTTACAAATCTGAGTAAGCTGTGGAGAGGATTGTTGGATGTTTAATACAAAGTTGGAGTAAAATATGCTTCCATCACCATTACCGAGGTTTAAACCGTCCAAAATCGTACTGGTTCCCCACAATTCTACCTTCCACAAGATGGTGCGTTGCCTTTTATTTGCAAGTACGTTCGAATTATTAGTGAACACCTATTAATTCCTACTAACGGAGTTTGAAATACCTGTTTAGTTCGATTATTATAAAAAGTTGCTATCATATTAATCAAAAATAGCCACAAGCAGTAAGTCCCCCTCAAAATGGTAGTAGTCGCCATGTTCGCAGCCTCTGTTGCCTTCACATATCGCCTTCACTTAAAAAAGGGGTTGAAATGGAATATGGCAATACAGTGATTAGACGTCTGCGCGCCTATTCAGTGCCATTTGAGGAACCACTTGAGAGTCGCGGTTGATCAACAGGCCACTCGGATTGGCCGGATAAAAGTGGTGATTACGAAAAAGGTCAGGTGATCTCCAATCGCTGGGATGAGGCTTCATTAGAACTCCTATTTTCACATTTCCCGTAGCAATGTCTAAAGTAGGCCTGACCAACTCACCCACCTCAATACCATAACCCAAGTCGTCCTTTTTTATACTTTAATATCCTCCACTAATGCCACTGAAATTTGCCATTAAAATAGTGTCTCTTTTTAGGAGGAAAAAGCTGGTCCATCCTCAAACCAAGACATCCCATCTGATCCGTTTTATAGTATGAACTACTTAAGCTTTATAAAATGGGCTGACGGATACGTGTGTCGTAAGCTCCTTTTAAGGCCTAAGGATGTGGATCGTGAGGAAGAGTTGGAGGCCGTGCAGTACCATGAAAGAAAAGAGCAAATATACGATCGGCTCTCAATAAGTGAATTTCCCGCTGAAGTACAAGGTCCAGTTAAGTGTCTGATAAGAAGGCTTTGTAACTGCAAATGCCTATCGGCAGGCAGGATGGTTCGCTACAAATGTGAATTGCCAGTACTCCTTACTTCGGCGCCGACTACCCTTCATTTGGAAGTGGCCTCCAATGTGCCAAGCTTTCGTGATCAGTGGAATCCATTTTTTAGAAATGCCGACGGTACTGCAGCGGACATATATGAACGGTTTATAGGTGTTGGAGAAAGAGGTGACGCAATTCGGCTGAACGAGTATGACTGTATTGTTTTTTTCGTGGAATTTCCAACCTCTAAATACTTGCGTTGTAAACACCTTAAAGACCTGGGCAATGCCATCACACCAACACAAACATTTATTGTGACAGGTAGATATCCGGAACTCTATGGTATCATTGCAGAAGTGACCTGGGAACAGAAAATTTTTCAACTTCTACGTAGATTTAACTTTCCTCCTTTTGTCAACTTTACCGACAATTGGCGTATTTGGTATAACAGAAACGACAACATGGGGAAGATCAACTATGTGGAAATCATCCGCTGGGCCTGTCTTGATGTGATATGGAGAAGGGCCAGAGCTTTGGTCACCTAATGCTTTCTGCGTAGCATTATTTAACTTACGAAATTTGCCAAATAAAATGAAGTCTAACTTTTCCACACCTTTTTTGATGCAGAGGTTTAGGTAGGGTCAAAAGGGAAGACAGAAGAGTAGCAAACATGATTAGAAATGGGTGGGTAAACAACGCAGAATATAGTATCGGGACAATTGACAACTTCACTTCGCTTTTTCTGCAGACTGCTGAGCCTCAGGGGCAGACAGCGGGACTAGACTCTTTGTTGCGCTACAGCTCCTCCTACGGCCGCCTTTACACGACCACTGGAGGTGTGTCATGCAGGTACTCGCAAAGTATCAGGGCTAGCGTTTTCTCGCCTTACACCCGCACCGCAACGAAAACCTTTCTATGCTTGCCCCAACAAATAAATCTTAAGCTGGTGCAAAGGCGACGCCCTCCATTTTTGAGTTAAGCAACTTAGGAAAGAGATTTTGCATAAGAGCCAACTCTTCACATTTTGTGCAAATTCGAGTTTACTAGCTCAAGCATGATGAGTACGATGACATGTTATCTGCGGTTTGAATCACAATCAAACAGAATTCTCGATTAATCATGTCGATGAGCCGAAGTGGAATCACTGATGAGGCTTACTTCTGCTGTTGCCTTTCCAAACATTAGGGATAGGATAGCCTACAGTGGAGTAGTAACAGCATTCCCTGCTCCTTTTGCCATGACGTCAGGGACAATGTCCATCTGAATACGAATAGGCATGGTTTAAGACATTCAGGTGCTCGATAATTTTGAAGTCTTCATCAACACACAACACCTGTTAGCACAATTTAGCAAAGACGTCTTAGCCTTTTATGGCCTCACTGAGCATAGACGAGGTGGCTGTACTGCTACTGCAAGTGAGGCACGTATGAGTGAGCTTGAATTGCTGAGTTCTTTCACAAGACTTTTGAGCTTCTGCAAAGCAGCAAGCACAGTTGCCTAGCAGTAAATTGAGCAACTGGCCACCGACCTGCTAAATGCAATCACATCATCTAGGGAGTGGATTGAAAGTTCCTTCCTTCCTACCGTGCTCAGAATAGCCAACTGACGCAGTGGATGTTACCTTGATCTCTTCTTCCTCAAAATTCATCTCACGGTATTTCTCAAAAGGTATTATTTTTGGTAAGAATTAATTTGACGCCTTCAAGGATACTTTTCAACCATTCAATTTGCATCACCCTGCCTGCTCGATCCAGTGCCAGACAATTCTCGTATAAAACTGCTTGTTTCAGCATTGAGGCCTGGTGGGTCGGTCGCGAATGTGGTGTTCACTACAACGACATCATTATCAGTGCAAACTAATAGAGACGCAACACTTGTCCCATTCTGCATGACTACCACCATCTCCTAATCTGCCGTTGATCTTTTCGCCATAGACAGCTAAAGTGCTGAGTTCGATTTGCCCTTTTTCACCACCAAGTTGCCTAGTCGTCGTTCTCACCTTGAATTACCTCTACCGCACGATAGCTCCAGTGTCAAACTACTACATTGGCTGTGAACTGCTCACATTCCCCACACACACGTCCGCAAATTCAACGATGCCTTATAACACCTATTTTGCAGACAAGGCCTCATATACGACTACTTTTAGTCAAGATGGCAGAAAAACCAGTCAGCCCAGTTATCCAAGGCTTTGTCTGAACATCGAGGTATGAAGAAAGAAGCCCAACTTTCATGCATTTGACTGAGCAGTATGCAGACCATCCTACAGTACCCATGCTTCAAAGAACCTTCCACTGTTTGAACAACCTCGACCACATCCTGTCAGTAGGCATTGTGACTGGTCATCATGCAGCATGTCCTAGTCATCCTGCAATATCCTCGAACGAACATTGCTGCGTCTGGTGGAGGAAAGAGGTCAACTAAGCTCGCACGAGGCCGACGAGATTACTCTTGGTTCCACCACCTCGTCAGCAGCAACACGCATTTGCCCGTGTTCGCCTAATCAGTCTCTGAGCATTTCCGTTTGTTCTGAGATGCAATCACTCAAAAGTTAAATCTGCGATGTTGTGCCGCTCAGAGAAAGCTGATGTTGAGCGCACGCCAGTGGAAATATGGTCGGATGGGGGTACGTGGGGCTGCACAAGCGATTAGAGTGGCGATATCATTCACCATGTATGACCACAAGAAGGGAAGGGAGGCGAACAATGAATCAGACCAGCGTGTTCAAGTCCATGGGAGTGGGCATCTCACGTGAACGGATGTGGAAAGCCGTGTAGTAAAATAGCCACTTACATGTCAATCCAATCCACCAGTTCCACTTGCTGGATGGCGCATCCTCGCAAATGCACACCAGGTGCTAAGATTGGTCAACGAAAGTGGGAAACGATTTGAAGTAAGTAACAGTAGATTGCAATTAAATGCCACCTTTAATGAAGGCTTATTGCAAAGCCCAACACAAGAGATCCTCTGTTGGAACAACTTGCTGACACAGTGGTCATGGCTGCTGAAGGCGTCAGTGAGGGAGCCTCCATCTGCTAACTTAGTAGTTGTCCTGCTTTCGCTTCAATCCAAAACTGCGAGATGTGCTTGAAAC